TTTTTCACCAAGTGATCTAAAAGGGTGAATGAATTTAGAGCCAAGAAGCAATACATTGATAACCAGCACAGCCACAAGTATAGATAGTGACATCCTAAGAGAAACTCACCAAAAAGACATGCCTGTGTCATCAAGATGGTACAGTGCCTGTGAAGCCAAGTGTTAGTGACTTAGGTGTTATTCTTACCACATTCTGTTTTCTCTCTTAACTAGGAATTGACTGAATTTTTTTTCATCATTATTAATAAAAGTGTCAGGTCTAGATAAACCTTAGGGTGCTGCAAGAAGTGCCTATTGAATAAAACCTGGAGTTCAAAAGAAGCTGTTGACACGGGAGTGTAGATTTTAAATATAGGGAGAAATCAATGTTGTCTAAATACCATCTTTATACCTTCAGATATACATCACATCTTCCTAAAGACGGGCAAGCGCCTCCTACTCACAGCAAAATAAGGCTGATTCCCTTGTACTGGCCCATAGCTGTTGTCCTGGGACCGTCCTCTACCATCTCCCTGCATTCCCTTCACTTGATTTGCTGGATCCTATTTTTTTTAGTGTCCAGAAACTTTCTTGACTTGATTAAAGCACATTTTCCAACAGCATTCTGAAAAAGGTTGCATGAGAGGTAAATTGTTTTGTGATCTTGTGGCAGAAAAGCCACACTGGTAGAACCTGTGTGTATAAAATGTCTTTATTCTATCTTGATATTTGATTGATAGTTTGGTCAGTTATGAAAATCTGTGTTGGGGTGCTGATGTGGCTTAGTGGTAGAACGTTTGCCCAGCATGTGTGAGATCTTGAGTTCAATCACCAGCACTGTAACACAGCAACAAAAAATCTAGGTTGGAAATAATTTTCCTCCAGGATTTTGAAGTCCTCTCCCATTGTTTACTTCCATTTATAAGCATGAAGCCATCTGACTGCCCTTCCTTTCTGTGTAGCCTATTTTCTCTCTGAAAGTTTTAAGCCTTTTTACTTCTTTTAACTATTCTGAAATAGAAGGAAGAGACCTGGAGTGGGTCTGTTTCTTCCATGTCATGAGCACATGGTATTCTTTTTGCTGTGAGATGTTACTGTTTTCAGATGTCCAACCTTCTGTACTGATATTATAGTTTTTTTGACTTTCCTATTTCCTTGTCTTTTTCTCTCTTTTGTAGGAGATTCCTCAACTTTTCATTTGGACTTTATATTCAAAAAAGTTTGTTTTGTGCTGGGCACTGTGATCCTAGCAACACAGAAGGCTGAGCAGGAGGATTGCAAATTCAAGGACCTAAGCAACTTAGTGAGACCCTGTCTCAACATAATAAAAGTGGATGGGAATGTGGCTCAGAGGTTCAATGCCCCTGGGTTCAATCAATCAAAAAAATTTTTGTTGTTGTTTTACAACCATTTTGTTTTTCTTTGTTTCTTTCTGGAGCACCTGTTCTTATTTCATGAGCACAATATCTTCTCTTTTCTGCCTGGGAATATTAACGAGAGGTTTTCTTTTTACCTTGAGCTTTTCAATTTGGCATAATCTTCACTTTTTTTTCCTGTTGATTTTGGTTTACCTATTGTCTTTTTTTAGATGTCTAGTGAATCCTGTGTACTCAAGTTTAAGAGTAGGGCTATCAGTTTCTTAACTAGTATGCAAAAAACCCCAAAAAACAAAAAACAAAAAGGTGTGTGAAGATAGACAGTACAGTCTTCTGATAGCTGGGGCAACACCTGGAGAGTCTTAGCTTATCTGGCCCTGGGGCCTATTTACCTGGAGTAAATTCCATTTTCCACTTGTGTTGTAACATGGAAAAGCCTGGAGCCCAAGGGCCATACTTGTTGACTGCGGCTTTCACTCTCTCTTGGTCAAGCTGGCCCATCTTCCTGGGACAGGTCAACGTCAGTACCGTCAGGTCTGTACTCTTGGGTTGATGGAATCCTCCAGAAGAGTCTTGGGGTTTCTTGCTTGAGGCTATTGGTCTTGCTTTCAGCATGTTAGGAGCTGAGTTGGAGGAGGCTGGGTGCATATGTTCTCTCACGCTGTTTGGGGCAGCATGCCTTCCCGAAGATGTGCCTGGTGCCCCTGTCGAGACCTCAGTTCCATCCTTTTCAGAATAAAAATCACTTTTCTTCCACCACAGCTAGAGAGAGACTTACTAAACTCTTAGCTGGGAGCCGTGTAGAAACTTAGGAGGGAAGTTATGTGAATTTGGCTGTTCCAGAAGACTTGGCTGTTTTTAGTTTGTCCTTCTCCCCTCTGTCCACAGCTCCCTGGTCCCATGGTTCCTATGCCTGGGGGGGGGGGGGGTTCTGTGTGTGTGTTCTATGTGTGGCCTTTGCTCACTGCTGAGCTAAGACTCATGTCCTCGGTGTTTCAGATCAGGTGTTCTTGTTTGTTTCTAGTTTAGGAAATTTTGTTAATGTGGTTTCCTGCTCTCCTTGTATTCTTTCCTCCAGAAGTCTGATTCTTGATTGACTTTATTAGATAGAGTTCTGAATGCAAAGGTAAGTTTAACTTCTGGTTTCCAAATGTTTTCCATGAAGCTGTTGCTGCTTAGGATCAGCGTGTGAGATGCACTTTACTTTTTTTTAGAAAGCGTAGTTACTTGGTAACGGTTAACATAATGCCATTTCTGAGATTTAACATAGTTGTAATTTCTGTCAATATTATGTTCAAAGCTATTTTAAAATTTTAACTTAAATATATATTTTCCATAGAGCCTTTTTTTTTTTTAATATTTTTTTTTAATATTTATTTTTTAGTTATCGGCGGATACAACATCTTCGTTTTGTATGTGGTGCTGAGGATCGAACCCTGGCCGCACGCATGCCAGGCGAGCGCGCTACCGCTTGAGCCACATCCCCAGCCCCATAGAGCCTTTTTTAAAAAAAATTGTTGTTGTGGATGGACACAATATCTTTTTATTTTATTTATTTATTTTTATGTGGTGCAGAGGATTGAACCCAATGTCTCATGCATGCTAGGCTAGTGCTCTACTACTGAACCACAACCCAAGCTCAAGCCAGAAAGTCTTAATAAAGAGTATTTGGAATGAGGATAGTATCCATAGATGGGACAAGGATAGTACACTCAGGTCACAGAAGGAGGTACGTGAGTATCAGCACAGGTGGTTTGGTAGTTTTGGTGAACAGAGCATGTTAAAACACTCTTCTGACTGCTTCTATCTTCATAATGAAATGAGAATTAAGTGTAACAGCTGAAGATGATCAGGAGCTGTGCTTCAGGTTTGAGGAAAAAGAAGAAAATGTAAAGTAATAGTTTTAGAGAGTAGGAGAATGAAGGCATATGAGAACTATATATGAATTGAAGAATAATACTATGACTATTGAGGATAGGAGTCATGAATTAAAAAGAAGCATGTTAAAAAAAAAAAAGAATATTTGGAATATCTTTTAGACCTTGGGTAGATTGCAAACAAGACTTACAAGCATTGGCTTTGAAAAGCATTCTTCAAATTGCCCACCACGTTTACGAAAGCTAGAGTCTACCAAAGGATGAATATCAAGAATATAGCTGGGGGGCTGGGGATGTGGCTCAAGTGGTATCGCGCTGGCCTGGCATGCGTGCGGCCCAGGTTCGATCCTGAGCACCACATACAAACAAAGATGTTGTGTCCACCGAAAAATAAATAAATAAATATTTAAAAAAAAAAAAAAAGAATATAGCTGGGCTCAGTGGTGTACACCTGTAATCCCAGTGACTCTGAAGGCTGAGGCAGGAGGATTTTAAGTTTGAAGCCAGCCTCAGCAACTTAGCAAGGCTGTAAGCAACTTAGTGAGACATTGCCTCAGGGGAAAAAAAAAGTTTCAAGAATATATAAAGAATGCTTGATATGAAAAGAATGGCTAAGGATGTCTCTCGTGGGTAGAGTGCTTGTCTAGTATGCATGAAGCCCTGCATCTGCCCCCAACACCTCAAAAAGAGAGAAACAGACATGAACTTAACAGCTATTTCACAGAAGAAGAAACCTGGCCACAAACACATGAAGAGACATTCAGTACCTGGATGGGGAAATGCAGATTTCCCCCAGTGAGATGCCACAGTCACCTTTGGGGCCAACCTCAGAGTGATGATGGTTCAGGCATCATAGAGTGTGTGGATCCACAGACAGAGATGAGGCTGTCAGCTGCTCAGCTGTGGAGAATATTTATTATCATCTTCTGCTTTGGTGGATAATGCAACCCAACTCCATTCCCCGGCATACCCAAGGGAAGTTCTTTTACAGAGTACAAATGGAGATGTGTACATAATAGTTACAGCAACACATGTTCAGACCATCAAGAACCTCATGACAACCTCAGAAACCATCCATAGGAAAGTGGAAAGTTACACAGCAGAACCAGGAGATAGGCTCTTATGGACGAACAAATAAAGGAAGCAAAAAATTCAACACAAGATTTGCATTATAGTTACTTCCAATGATAGAAACAGAGTAGTGTATGGTTTGGGGGAACCATTTGGTTAAAGCTAATTATTGTCAACACTTAGCTTTTGCTTTGGGTAGTGGGCTTGTGAAGTCCTTGTTACATAATTGAAAATAATTATTGGATAAATAAATACACAGATAATAAGCCTAAAAGAACTTGGATTTCCAAGTGAATAGAGATTCATGGTCACATGGATCTTAGTTCTTCATTTGTCTGTTTTGCCTTTTTTTAAAAGAAGCAGCATCTGGGGCTGGGGCTGGGGCTCAGCAGTAAAAGCGCTCACCTAGCACATGTGAGGCACTGGGTTCAATCCTTAGCACCACATAGAAAATAAAATAGAGATTTTTGTGTTTACCTACAACTAAAAAAAAAGCAGCAGCAGCAGCAGCGGCATCTTGAAGATTGGTACCAATGTTTTACAGTTGAAAGTTGTAAGAATATATTGACTTAAAGTTAACAAACTAAATTTTCTGAGTGGAATTGCAAAGCTAATATGTATCGTAGAATATTTAGTGCATAAATATTTATAGCTATTTGTTTTTTCATAGAAATTTTATCTTTTTTTCCTTTCTTAGGACAAAGTTAAACTATAATCCTCCAAAAGATGATGGATCCACTTATAAGATTGAACTGGAAGGGATATCGGTGATGGTCATGAGAGAGATCCTGGATTACATCTTCAGTGGGCAGGTAGGATAAGACACAAGGGAGGAGGCCCAGAGGCTTCTTGAGCTCAGGTCGGGGGTTTCCTTCCAGCCACATGTGGCCAGTGACCCTGTCTTCCTCTTCCATTATGGTGGGCTTTCAGGGGTCTCTCCTGGGGATGGCGCCCCATGCTGGTCTCCCTTCCCGGCTCTGATCCTGAACGAGCTGCTGATGACCAGCCTTGGACCCAGTCCGTCTGTGTTTGCCGCATGAAGCCTATGCCCACGCTGCAGGAGATGGGCGGGGCGGAGGACCCTGTGGGCCCTCACTGCTGCCCTTGATGTCTTGTTTCTGCATCTTGAATCCAGTCTTGCTCCTGCCCATGCTGTCAGGGAATGTGTTCTGTCCCCACAGCAGGGCGAGAGCTTCCTTGGGCAGTGGGCTTTCTTCATAGAAGTGAAGAGCTCCTTACAGGTCACTCCCAAGAAAGAAGGTTGACCCAAATGATAAGACACCCTTACAGTGGTGATGCCCTGGTCCCAATGCCTCAGTAGCACCCCATCCCTGCCTGACCCCAGTCTTTATCCCTATTGCCCTTTGCTCTCTTGGGCGTTTAGTGATGCCCAGGGAAGAAATGACTGGTGACTAGACATCTTGCTTTTCCTTTGCCCTCTTCCCACCCCCAGCCCCACAGTGTGATTTCAGGTCTAGCTTGGGTGTGAGTCGGGGCTGGTTTTATTAGCAGGAGGTCAGGGTGGCTCACAGTGTGACGGGAGAATGCATTTTCTCCTCTTCCTCTCTGAGGTCTTGCCCAGCTTTCTCCCTGGCTCCTTCGAGCCGTTTCTCTTGAGTTCTTCCTTTCTGTATGCATGCTCTCCTCCATATTTCTTGGTGTCCCAACCGTATTGCTGCCTTCTCTAAGCACATTCACTCTGTCCAGAGCCGCACTCAGGACTCTCATCCTGAAGGTGTGTGGTGATCCATAGTATTCCCTCCTCTTTTCTCTAAACACAGCAGCGGGCATGTATGTGTGTAATTGCTCAAAGTGAACAGAGTTAAAGTAACTTGGGGTCAGCCCTTAAAATCCTGAGAGATTGTAGCACTGCAGACCAGGCCTGTGGCCAGCCCCTTGTCTACTTGGAGTCAGCATCGCCGCACATCACTGGCCAGGGAGAGCACGCGTGCTCAGGGTTGGACCCCAGACGAGAGACTGTATTTTCAGATTAACTTCTGTGGTTCCTTCCTATTTTAATTGTAAAACCATGGTGGCAGTATAAATTATAACAAACTCCTGAATTGTCAGTTTGGTCTTATTAAGAGGTAGTGTTTTTGTTTTTGTTTTTTTTCCCACATGCCTATATTTGATAGCTCTCTGCTATCTCATAGAACAAGGTGTTTCTTGCTATGCTCTTTGAATTCTTTCCTTGACATTTCTGAACGTAGGAAAGCACCCTCACTTGGGGCCTTCACCCATGATTGTGGCAGTATTATAGTGGCCATATTTCTACACTGAATAAAACAAAGGAAAAGTAAACTTTCACAATGAGAAAAAACAACCTTATACTAGGAATTTATCCCAAAAGGTATTTTCAAGACCAAATTGTTTTGGTTGCTCCATGGTGTTTTGGTATTCAGAATGGGGCTGCTGAGGGGTCGAAAGCTCTCCTTCAGGGCCTGCATTCAGCTGGGCATACCACTTGGCAAAAGAGGAAACCCATATAGTCAGAGGCAAGATTTTCAGCATCTCTGGTGCTAGGATTTAAAGAAACCACGCTGTGTCCTAAACATTTCCACTCTGAAGCTTCCTCTCAACTGCAGAAGTGAGGCAGATCGTCACTTCGGCAGGGCTGGGGAGTTCACATGGATGTAGCAGGGGAAGACTATGGCGACTGAGGCACGCACACATCCGCTCGCATTGGCACAAGGGTGACCTCTTGATGGAGGTGCCTGGCACCTCAAATATTCCCTCGTTTTTGGCCTGAGAAGTGGAGACTTCGTGTGGTTTAGCTAGTAGATGAGTGGTTTGGGTCCTAAATACCTACATTCAGATATCAAATGCTGTGACTCTCTTTCAGATCAGGCTGAACGAAGACACAATCCAGGATGTTGTGCAGGCAGCAGACCTGCTGCTGCTGACGGACCTGAAGACCCTGTGCTGTGAGTTCTTGGAAGGCTGCATCGCTGCCGAGAACTGCATCGGCATCCGAGACTTTGCCCTGCACTACTGCCTGCACCACGTCCATTACCTCGCCACAGAGTACCTGGAGACTCACTTCCGGGACGTCAGCAGCACAGAAGAGTTCCTGGAGCTGAGTCCTCAGAAGCTCAAAGAAGTGATTTCTCTTGAGAAGTTGAATGTGGGCAATGAAAGATACGTGTTTGAAGCAGTGATTCGGTGGATAGCCCATGACACAGAAATAAGAAAGGTATCTGTCGCTGACAGCATGGTCTCAGGTTGCGTTTTTATTTGCTTTAAATTCAAATTGTAGTTGTTTTGTCTTTTTCAATTTGAAAGATTTACCAGGTTGTGACCTAAAAGGTATTTGTAAGACACCTTCCATCTGACACTAAAGCGATGGGCCTTTTACCCCAGTCTGTATCCGCGGGGGTGATGGACCTGGGAGGAAGCATACCATCTGTCCTGCCTTGCTTTTAATAGCAAAATGCACTTCAAAACTAAGCGGGAGGTTGCAGAACTGCCTTGTCTCTCCCCATGCCCTTGGCACCCCGCCTGCCTGCTACATCGCTGGGTGTACCCTGTCCCCCAGGTGCCCTCAGCAGGCACATGAAGTCCAGCAGAGAGGTGATAGGCATGCCTCAGGAGCATGATGGGTTCTCCCTGGAGAGATTGGCACTGGGTGGGGAGGAAGCAGGTGGGCTCTGAAGTTTGTGTAGCCATGTGGTTCCACACACAGGCAAGGTTCTGGGAGTGGTGGCTTGGGGAAGAGGTTCCTAGAGAATATCAAGGCTCAGATCCAAATTAGAAGCACACTGTGGGAGGGAGCAAAAGCACAGGACTTCATTTCCAGTCTGCTCTTTATAAATAAGAAACTAGCTCCAATTACTCATTTTAAAATAAGAAATGTATTAGGTTGGTTTTAGAGAGTAGATTTCAAAAATGTACAGTTGCACTGTTAATTGTTCTTGGAAACTATTAACCTAAGTTTTAATGATTATCATATAATTTTTTAAACACCATAAACCTATGAGTGAGTATATTGAGGAATCCTGTTGTATAGTCTTTTGTTAGTTTTAGTCAGGACACAGTAGTGTTCTTTTTTTCCACGTTAATCAGGTAAATTAGAAGAGGAGATTAGCAGAGTATCCACCTGCCCGCTCATGGAGGCCACCACAGGAGAGACTACTCCTCTCCAGCTTCTGCTGGAACCTCTTGCCTCAGAGGGGTGAGAATACTTAAGGTGACTGGTTACTAGGGAAACGAGACAATTCTTTGCCCTTTGTTAATCTGAACTTGATCCCATACTCTTGGCTTTTATTACTCTGAGTACAGGAGAGTATACCTTAACATGACTACTTGAAACCCAAGAAAAATCTCTAAATATACCGATTAACCAAGTCGTTTACAGTGTTTCGTCTTACCTATGTGGAGTGCAGTAATTGGTTCAGTGTAGAGCAGCAGAAGCATATAATCATCTTATATGTGTTAGTTAATTTTGAACAGCGATTACTAAGGAATACAGTACTCAGAATTTTTTTACTTTGGGCTTTTCTATATTTTTCTTATCAACAATGAGACATTATCTAAATTTACCATACAATATCATATATATTACCTATGTAAATGTGAACTCCCAGCACATCCAAATATGTTGGTATAAAGCAAATTATAGTCCTTTTTTACTCTGTTTACTTATTGGAAGAGAAACCCCGTAGATGTAAAAAAGCTGCTGCTTGAAACTTTGCACTGATCCTCAAATATAAATATGAATAGATGGTTTTAAAATTTTTAGCTTTTATTCCTGAGGCTCTGGGAAGCAGGAAGGAAAAGGGTGAGCACACATTCAAGCCGTCCTGGCCCTGATACCTTGCCTGTTAGTAGCGGGGCTGTTGACAGTTTTCTACAAGTTGGAGGACATGTGCTCTGGAGCCCCTCCTGCTCTCCAAGGCTAATCCCATCCTTTCTCTCCCTCTGCAGGTCCACATGAAGGATGTCATGTCAGCACTCTGGGTTTCAGGCCTGGACTCTAGTTATTTACGGGAACAGATGCTGAATGAACCATTAGTACGAGAAATTGTCAAAGAGTGCAGCAATATTCCGCTCAGCCAGCCGCAGCAGGGAGAGGCAATGCTGGCCAACTTCAAGCCCCGGGGTTACTCAGAGTGCATCGTGACTGTGGGCGGGGAGGAAAGAGTGTAAGTTTGGGTGCAAGGTGTTTGAAAGGTGGGATAAAGGAAGAAATAGTTCTATGTAAACAAGAATTCAGAATATTTTTCAGTTTCTAAAGCGTAATAGCAATTGATGGTTTAATGTTTTAAACATTCTATAGAGCACCAAAGCTAGTAATGGTTTTTGAAAGCAGAACTACATAAAACATTAACTGCTAATCAATTATTTATTTCCTTAGTTCCCGGAAACCAACGGCCGCGATGCGATGCATGTGTCCTCTTTATGACCCTAACAGGCAGCTTTGGATTGAACTGGCACCTTTGAGCATGCCGAGAATTAACCACGGAGTTCTCTCAGCAGGTAACATCCTGTAGTCAGTTTTAGTTGAACACATGACCAGTGATAGATAATTTCAGGGTCAAGAGGAATGACTAAAACCTTTGAAGATGTAATTTTATTGTCTCTACATGATGATATTGTCAGTGTGGGTCCAGCTTTCAAGGCCATGGTTGAGAGAAGAGCATCTATGTCAGTCCTCGTTGTTTCCAAGTGTCAGTACACAAACATCTATAAGGTGGAGAGACACTGACTAGGTGGTGTCACTAAGAAAGAGGCTGCCCTGATTAGCTGTGCAGCCATCCATGGTCCTGGTATTTTCTTGAGCCATATATTCCCATCTTCAGAATTCATGCTGTGTGGAATTCCTATGAGACTTTAGAATATATTACTTAAATTAGCAGTGGCTCAAAATTATTTTACTATGGAGAGTATGTTTTACTTGATGTTTACAAGTTTGAAAATTGCTTCACCATTACTCAAAGCTCCTACTTCAGGAGGTGACAGGAAGGATTGGGACTGCTGCTCTGCCGTGCTTGGCTGCCTTTCTCTTCTCCTTAGACCCTGAGTTCACCCAGCAAGTGCCATTTCCCATCATTCTAGTGATTGTTGGCCATCCTCCTGGAATTATTACATGTTTCTGCTTGCCCACTAGCATTACCTTTAAAATGTTTAAAGGTATGCCATACCGTGTCATAAAAATGGTCATCACTATGCAGTTTTATAGAAATCTTTTTATGACTCTCAACATTTTAGGAGTTATTGTAAACAATAAAGAGTTGGATAGAGTAGTGCATTTGACAGGATGAGAATCTAGTTTTCCTGCCTTCCCAGAATTAACTCCATCAAACTTTCCCCATCATACGGTACACTCCTACTTTGCACTCATACACCCCCATCACAGAGGTTCCTGGATCACCAGGTTTTGCAGATTTTCTGGGTGGGTTGGTATTTCAGACACCAAACAATGTAAAGAGTGATTATGGACAGTTTTATTGACTGAAGCTAAAATGATTGAATAGTCCTTTCTCTTTTCTTGATAGGGCAGAAGGGTTGGAGGGGAAGGGAGGGGGCATGGGGTTAGAAATGATGGTGGAATGTGATGATCATTATTATCCAAAGTACACGTATGAAGACACGAATTGCTGTGAATATAGTTTGCATACAACCAGAGATATGGAAAAAGTGCATTAAAAAATAAAAAAAAAAGTCCTTTCTCTTGCCCCGGAGTCTACTCTATTTTTCTTTTTTTTTTTTTTTAACTTTTTAAAAAAAATTAGTTTGGACTGTTACTCATCATTCAGTTTTTCTTCTCTACTAGTTTGGAAGTTACATTCTTTTTTGCATTCCTTTGGGGAACTTACATTAGATATTAAAGCCTGTGTCTTTAAGTTATCAGAGTGTAAAGTATGCTGAAATACATGATTTTTAATACCTACGTATGTAATATATGTTTTTTTAATCTGTTTTTTGGATGGATTGCTGGACAGATAGAAAGTTTACTTTGTTCTTCCTTCTAATGCACTAAGTTTTCCAACTAGAATCATTTTCCTTCTCTCTGACATTCATCCTTTTGAATTTCCTTTAGAGCAGGTCTTTTTATGGAAAACTCTCAGATGTATATGTCTGCAAATGTCATTATTTTGCCTTCATTCTTAAAGAATATTTTTGCTGGGTATAGAATTTTAGGTTGATATTATTTTTCAGCCCATTTGAGGTGTCTTTCCTCTGATTTAAGTCAGTTGTCAAATCTAAAAATCTTTTCTTCTCCGTCTTCCCAGAATTAACCCTTCCTTGCCCTGCCTTCTTTTTTCTTTTTCCTGCCATTTCATTGGTGTGTGTGTGTGTGTGTGTGTGTGTGTGTGTGAGAGAGAGAGACAGAGAGAGAGAGAGAGAGAGAGAGAGAGGGAGAGAGAGAGAGACTTAAAATTGAATCACATTTGGGAATTGTTGGCCCTTTTGACTCTGTAGCGTGACTTTTCACCAGTTCTTGGAATTCTTGTCCGTTTTGTCTGCACGTTGCCTATGCTCCATTCTCCACTCCTCCTCTACTTTTGGAAGTCACATTCCACACTGCACAGACTTTAACTCCATCCTTACCTCCTGTCTTCTTGTTATTTTCATCTTTTCATCCTTGTAGCCCTCTTGACAGTCGCTTTTGATTTGTCTTTGTACATTGAGTTTTCTCCTTATCATTGATGAATCTATTAATCCACTCATTGTTTTATTTCTAGAATTTCTCTTTAAAACTTTTTGAAATCTGCTGTCATTTTTTTTCTCTTTTTTAAAGATCCGATCTTATTTATTTGTTACTCTTAAAAATTCTTCTTTTTGTCTGGACTCGGACCTAGAGGTAGAAGCTCTCAGAATGGCAGCCTGCACCTCTTGGCAGTCTCTTCCTGGGGTTTTTCTTTGGCTTCTTTCATTCTCTTGTCAGAAGTTTGGCATATTCTGCATCCTCTTCCCTGTTCTTTGTAGTGTGTTGTTTCTTCAGGGCGAAGTGCCTGTGCTTGGGTTGGACACATGGGGCAGCGAGGCACTGAATCTTCAGTGCTTTGGTCCTGGGTTTTTTGCCTTCCTCATTTAAGGGTTTCCTTACAACACATTGGTGGACATCATCTTCCTTAGAGAGCTTGTACAGTTTGCGGATTCTACTGTCTCTTTTGGGTCCCAGTCGATGAGGCACAGTAGTATCCGAGAATCCAGGAATATCCTCCTCCCTTTTTTTTTTTTTTTTTTTTTAATAATAACCAAGTTGAAAACACTCACATTGGCATCCGTGACACAACCTTGAACAGCTTTGGGCTTTCTCTCTCCAGTTTGCCTAGGTCTATCCCATGCATGCTCCTTACAAAAAGTGTGGAATTGGGCTGGGGATGTGGCTCAAGCGGTAGCGCGCTCGCCTGGCATGCGTGCGGCCTGGGTTCGATCCTCAGCACCACACACAAACAAAGATATTGTGCCCGCCGAAAAAAACTAAAAAAATAAATAAATATTTTAAAAAATTTCTCTCTCTGTCTCTCTCTCTCTCTCTCTCTCTCTCTCTCTCTTTTTAAAAAAAAAAAAAAGTGTGGAATTTGTGTTCATCGTCCACTTGAGTGAGTTTCCGGCAGTCAATGGCTGGGAAGAGACACTCAGCTTCCTCTTGGTGCAGCTCTTCGCCTATCTGAAACCTGCTGTTGTTTCTACAGTTCCAGGTTTCCTAGAGTTATCTTCAGATTTCATTTTGTGATTTTGTCATTTTTCTGAGTGCTCCAATATCTGGAATTCGTGTTTCCCGCCTTCTGCTTCTGCCGTTTTTGTTTTTTGTAGACCTTAATTTCTTGTTATGTCTGATATCTTTGACTGGATGCTGGTATTTTTATTAATAATTATTTGTATGAATAATTGATGTTTTGAAGTTTTAGAATGCTAATAGTCTAAAGCTTAGATGAAAGTACTTTCTTCTATGGAATTTTTGCATTTGATTCTGCCCGTTGCCTAAGAACACCACTAATTTGGTATTGCTGTAAATAGAGTTCAAGGCTGGAGGTCTCCTAGGCAAGCAAGGGGGTTTAAATCTGAGCCCAATTCTGACTGACCTGCATCCTGAGAGAATAGAACTTTGAAGAGGATTTCTTGCCAGAAACCAGATCTTTTTGTGGGCCTGTGGCTTAGATTTCTCTCTTCTCATCCCCATGACAAAAGTGCAAATTCCTCAGAGTGGGAAATGCCTTGGAAGCAAGTTGGTTCCTTGCCTGGTGACCACTCTAGAGGTTCTGCTTCTTCCTTCAGTTTTTCCTTTTTTGTTTTGTTGGCTTTTAAGTGTTTTATCCAACAATGTAGATTTGTTTTGAAGAAGAATATCTAATCCACCTTTCATAGAAGTTCCATAATTACTCTTGGATCCTGTTTTGAATACAGAGGGCACACTGGTGCTCAGCTCTGAGGGTCCCAGGGGTCTTGAAGACAGGTGTGGCCTTTGGGTCAGAAGTTGCATGAGAGTCAGAACCAGGAATAAAGTAGGTGAACTGAGATGATCTGGAGCTGCCTGGTGACTGAAGAGGTGATGTCAGCCTGGCTTCTCACCTTAGGGGTGGGAGTCCCCTCAAAGATACTAATGAGTAAAGCAGAGTGGTCTGAATGACTCACAAACTCAGCTCTGTCACCAAGGGGCAAAGGTCCGAGTCCAAGAACAAAACTATGGTGGCTGAAGAAGGTCTCCAGATGCTGCTCCACCCTGTGGAGCTTGACGTGCTGGAGGACGTGCATTTTGGGTGACTTATATTTGTCCTGTGATTCTTGCAGAGGGATTTTTGTTTGTGTTCGGGGGCCAAGATGAAAATAAGCAGACCCTGAGCTCAGGAGAAAAGTACGACCCAGACGCAAATACGTGGACTGCATTGCCACCCATGAATGAGGTACCCCACGTGTGTTTCCTGTGATGGGTTTCCTCTTCCCCTGGGTCCTCTTGCTGGCTTAGTGTTCCAGTGTCTAGGAAAAGAAGAGGCAGCCCTGCCTAGGCCCCGCCTGTGTGCTCACGACCCCCTTGCCCTGCCTCTCTCCTTCCTGCTCAGGCCTCCCCTGCTCTTACCCTGGGCCCTTGTGTTGTTTGTCCCTCCTTGTCTGAACCTCCCTTGAGACTGCATGGCCTGCTCCTCCCCTCCCTCAGTCCTTTGCTGTGTCCTCGCTTTTCAGGGGGTTTCCTCCTGCCTCTTCTCTCACACATAAGGTCTTTCCTAATCCTTCTGGAGGCTCTTTGATGGCTGGAAATTCCTTCTGTCCCCATTTACCTTCCTGCTAGAGCAGGGCTCAGCACATGGGGCTCTGAGGTGGTGGCTGGATGAATGGCCAACACCAGGGCTTCAGCCACTCCCAGACCTCAGCAGCCCAGTCCTCCCCACTGCCCCTCCCGTGGAGAGTCTACACAGTTATGGCCCTTTTGTGTCTCACTCCTCCACTTGGAAACCCACGGCCCATTGCTATGCAAAAACAATCTGTGAAACCCATTATTACCTATTCTTTTTTCTTGCTGTGAGTTATGTGAGTTAAAAAGTAATGGTTGTGCCAGTGAATTCACCACATTTTATTCCCTTGTTCTGAAAAATGCCTGGTTTTGGGGTTCTTTATTGTGCTGGAAGGGCGAGTGCTAGTGAAGCCAGAAATAAGATACATTAGGAGAAGTGGTTTTGAACCCCTTTTTGCTGAACACTGCAATAAAATGATATCCCCAATCTGTATCAAATACCAAGTATCCGCTTTTACATACGAAGATCTTTGATGTATTTTCAGGCAAGACACAACTTTGGAATTGTGGAGATTGATGGGATGCTGTACATTCTGGGAGGGGAGGACGGTGAGAAGGAGCTGATTTCCATGGAGTGCTACGACATTTACTCTAAAACCTGGACGAAGCAACCTGATTTGACCATGGTTAGGAAGGTGAGGACAATAGCTTGTGATAACTAGTCTGTTCATTTATTTCTTTAGTATGCCTTTAATATAACTCAGAGTGCTTAAAGATTTAAAATGATAGAGTTCTGTCTTTTTTTTTTTAGTTGTAGTTGGAGACAACACTTTTATTTTATTTATTTATTTTTTTTTTTTTGTATGGTGCTAAGGATCTAAACCAGCGCCTCGCACGTGCTGGGCAAGCACTCCACCGCTGAGCCACAACCACAGCCCCGAGTTCTGTCTTTATTAGTAGCTTCCCGTACCTGTCAACAGCTACATGCCAAGATAGGAAAGAGGGCGTGCCTGAGACTTGACTCTGGGGCAGGAGGTGGCACTGCTGGGTACAAGTCTGTTGATGGTGCCATGTGTGTGCACTAACCTAGGTAGCAGCCAGATATCCCCACCTGTTCCTTAATCACTGTTCAAGATGGGGGAGAAACATTAGTCAGTAAACAGATGAAAGCAAATGGCTTACATAGATGTTTAGAGCAAAGCCCATCTTGTTTTTATAGTCCTGTTGTGGGCAAAGAGTAGCCATCAAGCCTAAGCTTCATGCGTTATCATAGGTATTTTACATCTTTAGGTACAGAGACATGCTTTGTGCCCTTTCAGCTGAGCTATTTAGATAGGAATTAAATGACTTATTGTTTTGTGAAATCTGTATCTTGGGATCTTCAAATATTGGTAAAAGAATAGAGACCAGAGCTTTTTTTTTTTTCTTTGCAATATTGAGGGTTAAACCCAGAGCCTTGTGTACACTAGGCAAGTGCTGTACCACTAAGCTAGACCCCCAGCCTGGGAGAGCTTTTAGAAAATAGGACTATTGACTTAGGATGCAGAAGAACTCCTCCTCTGGGATTCACAACATGTGTATTCCCTTGCTCTTCTCATTTTTAAGTCCTGTGGTGTCATTGAAAAGCACTGTAGGGGCCTGGAGTTGTAGCTCAGGGGTAGAGTGCTTGCCTCGTACATGTGAGGCACTGAGTTCGATTCCCAGCACCACATCTAAATAAGCAAATAAAATAAAGGTCCATCAACAACTAAAAAAAAAAAAAAAGAAAAGCACTGTAGTTTTACTGTTAGAAATCAATCCTTTATGTGATAAATTGGTTTCTGGATGAGTTACTGTCTATTCATCTGTCCATATCATTTTATTTTATTTTTTTCAGATTGGCTGCTATGCAGCTATGAAAAAGAAAATCTATGCCATGGGTGGAGGATCATATGGAAAACTGTTTGAATCTGTGGAATGCTATGACCCGAGGACCCAGCAGTGGACTGCTATATGTCCACTGAAAGAGAGGAGGTGAGTGACTGTGAATGCAGACTCCCTTTCTGGTCTGAAGCCCTTACCCAACTCTTCTTCCTCTTTTATTTGACTGACACTTCCTAGAAAGGAAGGCCCTCAAGTGCGTGAAATGCTGGCTACTGCAGTTATAGCAAGCGCTAGAGGCTCTGGGACTTGGGTCTTCAGCCGTGACTCATGCTGGCTGTGCTGTGTGGCCTTTCAGGTTTGGAGCCGTGGCCTGTGGAGTCGCCATGGAGCTGTACGTGTTTGGGGGAGTCCGAAGTCGTGAGGACATCCAGGGTGGTGAGATGGTCACCTGCAAATCCGAGTTCTACCATGATGAGTTTAAAAGGTAATTGCAAACAGCTTCATGTAGCTTCTGTAGCTTTTACTTTACACTGTTAAAAGCATGTTTCAACTGTGTTTAGTTTTGATTTCAGGTTACTTCATTGTGTTGTCTCTTTAAGAGATATGATCAAAGACATTTATTTAGTGACTTCAGAAGTATTGGTAACTCAGTGGAAACCATGGAAACGAGTCTCTAAAATGTAGACCAGATCTTGACATTTGGTTGCTTAGAATAATTTACTGGCTTCCAGTACCTTTTAGGAAAAGGTTTAAACTTCTCGACTTGGCATAATCGGCCTTTGTCTGCTTTTTCTGCTACAGTCCAACCCAGTTGTTTCACACTTTTCCCCCCCAAACATGTATGCCTCTCCTTTGGCTTAAAATATCCCTTCCCACTGTTCATTTTGTCTGACCTTTTCCAAACGATGCTTATGTCGCTGCCTGGGGAAAGCTGCACCCCATCTTCCAGTCGAATTGGGTCCCTCAGTCAGTGATCCCCTGGTCTCTGTGCACATCTCTCTGAGTTTGTAACTACCAATCATGAACACCTTCAGAGCAAGGTCCCACCTAGTCAGCTGTGCATCCAGGCTTCCAGCATCAGGCCTGGCCTGTGTCACACTCCTTCAGATGTCGAATAGTAGATGAAATGTGGCATTGAGGTTCTTACGATGTCTGGCCAGCTGCCATGTGCATCTCGTAGAGCAAAAGCATCTTTTCCAGACTTCCTCCTCTCCCCTCCTTTCACATATTCTGTTGTAACCATGGCAATGCTGTGCTCTTACTGCAGTGGTACCTTCAGATTTTCAGGGGACACCGTTGCACTGAATGTAATCTCAGTCATTACCAGAAGAGGGTGCTATAATATAATGTTTCATTTCTTATTATTTTACAAAAGGGCAAACAATGAATAGATCCCAAATGTTAGAAATACATATAAATGTTCCCTGATTTTTAGTGTGCTTTAAACTTAGGATATTTTCATAGCCTTTTTTGTTTCCAATTGTAGGGGTAGACTGTCAGGAGACTCCAAGTGTGAGAGGGTTCAGAAATGTTTGTTAAGTGGAAGTGGGCAAAGAACTTGAAAGCCCCACTGCTCCTTCCTGAAGGTACTATGCGGCTGACTGCCAGGGTAGGAAGTAGGCTATTAATTTCCTGCCCCAGTCAGTCTCGAGACAGTCCACCCAGCTGCATTAACAAGCAGTCGCAGTGTGTTTGGTTTTTGATAAAGCATTGGTGTAAAGCTGTTTTTGACTGGATTACTGCTCAGACAGCATGAAGCATGACTGCTGCTTATGTTTGGCCACTTTCTGCCCCTGTGCTCATTATGAAGTTTTTCATCCTGCCGCTTGGTTTGCCATAAACTGCTGGGACCTTTATGATTCAATCTGTCAATCTGTTTCATGTTTATGGTTGATGAACATCTTGTTGGGCACTGCAGCCCACACCTAGAATCCCCGTGGCTCAGGAGGTTGAGGCAGAAGGATGGCAAGTTTCAGGTCACCCTCAACAACTTAGCAAAGCCCTGAGCAGCTTAGCAAGACCCTATCCCAAAATAAAAGGTAAAAAAGGCCTGGGGATGTGCCTCAGTTGTTAAGCACCTCTGAGTTTGATCCCTTGTACTGAAAAAAAAAAAAAAAGATTCTGTATCTTCATCTTCCATATTTCTAGGCTGTTAAGTTCATTTGTAAATAGAATAAAGAGAGCTAAGTGCTCTTGTCAACATAGTACAAAGGATTCTCCCATGTTTAGATGACACTAAGCATGTATGTGATGGTGCCACCAAGTATGAGTCACTTAACTCACTGGATTTAAGAACAGTCCTCTGAGGTGTAGATTTTGTAATCAGCCCTATTTTACATAAGGAAACCAGAGCACAGAGAGGAAATTCAGACTCAGGTGTGCTGGCTCTAGAGTCTTCCTTTGCATGACTCCTCTCTATTGGCTTAAAAAATACAGACTTTGGGGCTGGGGATATAGCTCAGTTGGTAGAGTGCTTGCCTTACATACACAAGGTCCTGGGCTCAATCCTCAGCACCACACCAAAAAAAAAAAAAAGGCTTTTTCTTAAATATCTATAGACAAATAACATATAGGAGTCATTCATTTCTTAATAGATCAGATGTTACCAAGCACGTTCTAATTGCATATTGTGGAAATTAGTGCCAGTTGAGCAATCTGTATTAGTTTGGGGACCATTTAGATTGTTTTTAAGTAATCTCTTGACTTTCCTGTCTTTGTTTCATATTTTTAGGTAAAAACTTTCCTGGCAAAATGCCGTATCTTATTATTTTCTGTGTTTCTGAATAAAAACAACACTGATAGAAGGAAAACAAAGAAATCACCGTAAGTTATTCCCAAGTCCTAGTTAACCATTCAGCCAGGGCGAGACTTTCTCTTCCTGATCCTGCATCCTGTTCTGTTAATAATACTGCCATCCTCCCAGCTATCCGTACTCAAAGGGTCCTCTTTGATCACTCTTGTGCCGCCATGTCATCAGTTGCCCCATCTTGTCTTTCCTGGGATCTGGAAGCTTTCTCACACACACCTCCATGCGCGGTGTCCTCAGCCTCAGGGCAGCCCTGGCGAATGCCCAGCCTCTGCCTCTTGACTTGGACAAAAGCCCGGGCCATCTCATCCCCCTGCTCAGACCTCTTCACGCTTTCCCATTACTTACCACATCCACATGACAGTACTCGGCCTCCTCGGCGTCCTCTGATCCAAGGTGAGGAGGTCACCAGTCTTCTTCGTCCACAGGAAGACGTCCTTTTCACTTCCTCCAACTACCTCTATGCATTTGCTCACCCTCCTTTCATTTTCATTTCAGTTTTGTGTATCAGGTTAACTTGAAGCTCAGACCTGTCGGTTTCACCTTTTCATCCCAGAATGCATGATTGGAATAGGTATGCGTGACACCAGGAAGAATCTCATGTTGGTTTCTGATCCAGGGATTAGGCCACTGTGGCAGGAAATGCTGAGTAGAACCCTGGAACTCTGATTTCCTACCAACATAGAAAACCAGAAGTAACATGTATCCTAGGGAAATTGACAGATTATGTCACCATCAAAAACTTGAAAATGCAGGCATGATGATAGCTTTCACAGCCCTATGTAATCCAATTAGGAAAAGTAGACATGACAGGTGGATCTTGGAAAATGACTGCAACGTCATAAACTTCAGTCAGGTGGCTACGCTGATCACAGATGCCATCCAGATGTAGTACCTGTACACACAGGTTGTCTTTTTTACGCTGATCACAGATGCCATCCAGATGTAGTACCTGTACACACAGGTTGTGTCTTTATGCAGCATGGTCCCGGGCCTTGGCCCTGCGGCTATTGGCCTAGCCAGTGTTTTTAAATCTGACCAATTTTCAGGGCTCATCAGAAGCCATCTGCTTTTATCTGGAGGGGCTGACAGTTAACCTGCATGTTTCACCCCAGGTCCAGGTCAGTCCTGTCTCTGCTGCGTAGGAGTGCACAAGATTCGATCACCTCTGTGTCACACAGAACATCACGTTTTCTGCCCTGTTCATCAGAGCTTGCTGCTGGGAGCCGCAGTACTTCAGGCGCCTCCAGAAGGCATGTAAACTGGAGAACAGGAGCTGAACCCCACTCTTGACCAAAAAATTCCACCAAGAATCCAGTCAGGAGACAGAAGGCACACCTGTCATCTGAACAGGGAAAATGTAATATACTTGATTATTAACTAGTAAGAAAGATCAACTGCTACAAGAGATGAAGGAAGACTTGAAATAATGCACAAATGGGGGCTCAGGGTGCAGCTCAGTGATGGAGCATATCCTTAGCATGCACAAGGCCCCAGCGCCCTGGATCCACTTCCCCAGCACAAAAAAAAAAAGAAAAAAGAATGCATAAATAGCTGATGTAAGAAGCACAGCTACTACTTTAGGGCCAAGGGAAGGATCCAAGGAAGGAACAAATTGGAAAGAGTCCTCCCAGCCCTCGAGACTGAGATTGTCCCACCGTGTGCTGTGCTCCCTGTAAGCAGAGCACTAGGGTGCGGGTGCCAGGGGAGCTCAAGGGAAGTGGACGCTGGCCTGCACACGGCCCTGCAGCAGGAGGCGGAGCGCCCTCTGTCCCCGCCTTCTGTGGACAGAGCCAGCTGCTGGTTTGGCTCCATTCTGTCCCTTTGGTTTCTACACTGTCGTCGCATCTCATCCTAGCTCAAGCTGTCACCAACCACTGCCACCCGAGTGATCCCCAGCTCTAACTGTCTGCAGCTTTCTTTTGGCCTTCCTGTCCAGGTCACTGTGGCGGCCCCATGTGCTCCTCATGTGCAGGTCTGAGGCTTCAGGTTCCCACGCAGCTCCACTCTAGCTGCGCCCAGCTGTTTGGATTACCTTTTCTCTTCATTTCACTCGTTGTGAAACGTTTTCTTTCCCCTTCATCAGGTTGGAGGATTTCTGCTGCTCGGTCCTCAACCTGCTGTTGCTTTCCTTTGCTCTCTCCAGCCTGTGGTTAGGACCATCCAGCATATTTTGATTTCAAATATTATCTTTTCAATTCTAAAATCTTTGTGCAGTTTGTTATTAGTGTTGGTTGGTTGGTTGTTTTTTTGTTTTTCTTTTCGTTCTTTGTGTTCTGAAATTGCTGTCTCTCCATCACAAGCCTCTTTCCTTCCCCTCACTGAGCGTGCTCATGGTAGCTGCCTTCAGCTCTCTGCCTGACAATCCCAGCGTCTGAGTCATCTCAGAGTTGGCGTCTGTTGATTGTTTATTCCCTTGAGAATGGCTTCTCCTTTTTCTAACTCTTCTTTTGTTGAGTAATTCTGGATTGCATCCTGGACATTGTTAGTTATGTTGTTGAGGCCCTGAGTGTGGCACTGAAAGTCTCAGGAGGCAGTTAACATGGTCAGACTCCAACGCAGGCTGCCATACCGGTGGTGGGTGGTACCTCAGCTCTCATTTCAATTCTTGAAGCCTCAGTTACAGGCACATGTGGTCCCCCAGACTTGGCAAAAGACTTGAAATGAGTGGATGCTCTCCATGAAGGCTTCCTCCGTGCCTGTCCTCTCTGGGGTCTTCCCTTCACTCCAGGGCTCCTGACCCCCATTCCCAATTCCTATAGCCAGAGAGGTGGCCAGTTTCAGCTACCCAATGGTGCCACCTTCATTCACACTGCCTTTAGAGAAAACTACAAAGGAACAGGAAATTCACTTCACGGGGGTTGCTCACTCAACTTTCATTTTCTTCCCCAAACCAGAGCCCTCTGGTAGCTGTGTTTTGTGTTTTATCCAGAGATTTAGCTGATACTTACAGCAGCACTTGGTCAAGAAGCAGACATCAGCCGGTCACAGTGGTGCCCACCTGTAATCCCAGTGGCTCAGGAGGCTGAGGCAGAGGATCATGAGTTCAAAGTTAGCCTCAGCAAAATTAAGGTGCCAAGCAACTCAGTGAGACCCTGTCTGTAAATAAAATACAAAATAGGGCTGGGATGTGGCTCAATGGCCGAGTTCCCCTGAGTTCAATCCCTGGTACCCCCTCACCAAAAAAAAAAAAAAAAAAAAAAAAACAGCAGACACCTCACCTCATAAAAGCTTGCTTTTCTCTCCTCTCTCTTCTCCCCCAGATCTCTTTGCTGTTCTTTGCCTCTCCAAAGCTCACTGCTGCAGTCCATTCTGTATTTTAAAGTGTCATTCTCAGGGGCAATCTTAATTCTGAGTCGTCAAAGGACCTGTCATCATGGCCTCCATGTACTGATAGCCCATGTTTGAGAGGGTGGCCGTGAATGCATGGTGTTGCCTTGTTCCTCATAGAAGTGACTCTAATGGTAACCTCTGAAGCGTCCTGGACACCATGCAGGTGCTCATTTTGCTCCACAGCAGGCATTTCAGGTGCCTGCTTTACAGAAGAGGAAGTAGTGGTTCAGGTAGCAGCATTTCCAAGGACATTGAAGTGACAATGTTCTAAACCTTCCTACCTGCTTATGAGCAGCAGCAGCTCAATATGTGATCCAGTGAAATTTCCAAGTTCCATTTCACTTGAAGCCTCTGCATTGCATTACATAACCTCAATCCCCTAGGCTTATTTTTGTTTGTTTGTTTTTTGAAGCTAGGAATTCTCTATCATTGATATGCTGAGGACCAAATTGAGTAGATCATCCACATAGGCCAGTTTCTTCAGCTTCATACCATTATTCCAAGAATGAATCTTGTTACATTCTCAGTCAACAAAATTTCCAGGGAGCCTCACTGTGCTCCAGGGTCCCATGTGTCCTTGCTGGGGAGTGCTGCTCATCCTGTGAGCAGACAGGCCCTGCCCACGGCTCTGCCCAGAAGAGGACTGTAAGGGTGTCCTGGCAGTCTGGCTCAGCTGAGCACAAGGCACAGTGGTACTCGTCAGCTTTGATTCAGAAACTGAGAGGAACTTAAATGAAGAGGCATAATAATGTTTACCCCTGAAGATGTGAAATGTGAGTAAGCCAGTATTATAGTCTGACATTTTTCAAACTCTTTCTTTCAAAAGCTTATTCAGGATCTCTATTTTTTACTTTTCAGTGAGAGCTCTTAGTTTTTCCTTTTTTCTTTTTATTGAGGCATTTTAGAAGTAAGGACCAAAATCTGTATTCTCAGCCCCAGCAAACTACCTGACACCAGTCAGCATTCAGATGTTAAATGAATCAAGTGTTATGAGCGTATATTTAGGAATCTGACCACTTGTCTTTACTTCTGAGTTGTTTACCATCTTGGACAATTCATTGTGCACTCTTGGACAATTCATTATGCACCCTTGTTTCTTGGAATTCAAAATATGGAAGCTACCTACATTGTAACAGTCTGGGGAAAGTATCCATTGCATAAAAGTGATGCTCTTTATGCAATAATTTTAGTGATATTTGGTATGGAAGTGCTGTAAACCTAAGGTGCAGGCACAGCATAGTGAGCCAGGCCAGGAACAATGCCTGCATACCTGTGTGCACCAGAGGCCAATTGGGCATTGGCAGCCCTTGAAGTCCTGAGATCCTACTGACATTCACTGTGACAGCATGCTTGTCGGCTCTTAACAGGAAATTGCTTGGCTAATTGCTTAGTTTTACTTTCTTAAAGGAAAGCAAAGACAGCTTGCATTCTGGAATAGTTTTAGACTTGTAGAGAAGTGGCAGAAATAGTCCTGGAGTTCCCACAAGCCTGCATTCTGCTTCTCCTAATGCTGACATCCTCCGTGACCAGAGTACAAGTGTCGCGACTAGGATGTTTACATTGCACGGTGCTGATTAAACTCCAGGCTCCTGGAACTTCACCTGTGTTTCACTGGCATCTCCTCTGCTCTGGATTCAGTCCAGGATCCTATGTGCATCTGGTCACCACGTTCCCTTGGTCCTGTAGGCTGTGACATTGCGTTCCTCTGTCTCCTCATCTGCTCTGACCTTGAGACTCCCAAAGATTAACAGTCAGGTTTTTTCCTAGAATGTCTCTTCGTTTGAGAGGAACTTACGGTTTCTCATGGTTAGCCTGGGGTTGTGCCTTTTGGCAACACCACAGAAGTAACACTGCATTCTCTGAAGGGATCGAGACAAATGTCTGTGCTCGACTGCCAGATGCCTTGACCTGGATCAGCAGGTGGAGGTGGTGTCCCCTGGCTTCCTTCTCTGGAGAGTTACTGTTTTCCCAGTGGGATTAGTGAGTGTCTGGGAGGAGGTCCTTTGAGAAGGTGCAAGTGCACTGCTTCTCTGTAAGCCCTGACTGCTGATGGGGGCCCAGCAGATGGGGCCACAGTCGCCACTGTGGTGTCTGCCTAGTGGGGACGTTGCTTTCCTTGTTTCTTCTATGTTTGTCAATTGGAATTTTGTAAAGGAAACCTACCCCTTCTTCCTATTTTTAAATTTTCCCATTCTTTTTTATTATTATTTTTTAGTTATGGGTCGACATAATGTCTTTATTGTACTCTATGTGGTGCTAAGGATCGAACCCAGTGCCTCGCGCATGCCAGGCGAGCGCTCTGCCTCTGAGCTACGGCCCCAGCCCTTTTTCTGTTCTTCATATTGGTCCTGATGCACAGGTGTTTTACTCCAGTCCTGCTGCTCTCTCTTCTTGCTCGAAGGGCTCCATGTTGGCGCTTGGGAGCTCCTCCCTCCAGCTCCCGCACCTCGTGCTGTGCCTTCCCCTTTTTGAAGGACTTTCTTTCTGGCATCATAGATGCTGCAGGCTCATCTTGTGTTCTTTCTGCCTCTGCCCCAGAACCAACCGCTAGTTCCTGGAGCTCTCGATCTTTTAATGGTTATTGAATTGATTTTTCAACAGAGGTGCCAAGGCACGTTTCAGTGGGGAAAGGAAGCCTTTAGCAATGGCATTGGAAAAGTTAGCTATCTGAATGGAAAAAGGAGAACTTAGACTCGTACCGTATGTAAAAATGAATTTGAAATGTATCCTGGGCCTAAATCCATAAAGTTCCTGAAGAGTGCATAGGAGAAAAACCTATAAAACCTTGGGGGAAGCACATATTTTCTAGAAGGACACCAAAAACATTACCATAAAAGCAGAAAAAGATATATCAAATTAAAAACATCTGTTTCTCAAAAGATTCCACTAAGAAAAAGGCACACACATGCAGGGGAAGAATATTGATATGCTCGTATCTCACAAGGGGCTTGTACTCACTCAATACAAAGGATCTTACAACTCAAAACAAGATAGTAACCCCAATTTTAAAAATCAGGAAATCTTTGAACTTAAATTTCACAAAAGAAGATACATGAAGTGGCTAATAAGCACATACAGAGATGCTCGGCATCACTGGTCTTTGGGGAAATGCACATCATTAAAATGGCTAAAATTTTTAAAAGACTGACATGATAATACTAACCCACAAGGACTCACTACGCCGCTAACTGAAGTGCATAATGCAGTGCACTTTGGAAGGGAGGGGGCGTTTTCTCATGGAGTGGCATCCACCCTCCACCCAGGCAGAGCTCCCCTCTGCAGTGACAGGAAGCGCAACTGTGGCCGCCTGGAGGTGGAGCATGAGGGTGGAGATTGCTGTGGTGCCCAGTGCTGTGGGTGGCTCACCAAGTTTTCCCATCTCTTAGTCTTTCTAAATATCAGGGTCTCGCTTTTCTTTCCTTAATATTGTCCTTTGGCTTTGTCTGCAGGTGGATCTATCTTAATGACCAGAATTTGTGCATCCCTGCCAGCTCCTCTTTTGTCTACGGAGCTGTACCCATAGGAGCCAGTATCTATGTTATCGGAGATCTTGATACAGGTTAGAATGCTACAGTAATTTTCCCGGAACTGTTTCCTGGTGAATCAGAGGCGCATTGTCTAACCTTTGCTTACTTTCATGGTTTAGGTACCAACTACGACTATGTGCGTGAGTTTAAAAGAAGCACGGGGACCTGGCACCACACGAAGCCGCTCCTTCCATCTGACCTTCGCCGCACAGGGTGCGCGGCCTTACGTATTGCAAATTGCAAGCTTTTCCGCCTGCAGCTTCAGCAAGGCTTATTCCGAATTCGTGTTCATTCACCTTGAGGAGGATGCAGAGCAGAAAGCAAGGTCCTGCCCCGAGCGCACCATCACATAGCTGGACGGAAAGGGGAGCAGAGATGCAGCTAAACTTGCTCTGTGTGCTGGGCTGCGGTATGGTAACTCCGCGGGGGTCTTATAGTGCTTAGGAGCTTGAGCTTCTGCTCTTGTTTGGAGACCGTGTCACTGCTGAAAGACTGCCTGGGAGGAATCAGCTCCTCCGAGGAGGTGTGTCCGTAAACCGTGGAGCTAGTGAATTATATCAAAAGGAAAAGGGAGTGGGAATTGGTATGATGTAAAGTATCCAAGTTAAAACACTAAGGTACGTTTTCCCTGAAGGGAACTCCTGTCTGACTGCTGTATTCAGCACGTGGCTTTGGTAAACAAACAGAAAATCCGTATATGCAAATCAACACATCCAAAAGCATACCAAGATTGCTTTTCTACCGCACTTGGAAGGATATATTATGCCTAACCCTGTCCAGTGAATTTGTGCCTAAAATGTTAGATTGGACTCAATGCCAGTTAGTCTCCATTTATTACTAGTGCTCTGTCCTAAGAATCTTTTTAAGACTGTATTATGATGAATTGAAACTGAGATAAAATTTCTCTCTCATGATGTTTTGTCTTAGTTGTGTAAAGATCCAGTAAATTGATTAGTCAGGTCACAGCTCTTGTGTGAACTTCAAGGAAGTTGCTAACTTCTCTCATTTTAGATTAAGATATGTCATGCCATAATTTCTGGGGTAGTACTTTCAGAGTTGTGAAGGATCTCATGCAGTGCCATTCTTCCTTTCCAATCGATCAAACCATTTTATAACTATAAGGATAGGAGATTTTATAAAGGAAAGATCTGAGTCAGATAAATATTAAAGGGTCTGCTATGACTTTAAAAAAAACTGTTCAGATAAAATACATAGGGATCAAAACCTTTTTAATATAATCCGTCTGAAAGCACACAAAGTCTTGTTTACTACTGTTTAGAATTTGAAAATGTGTCTTAGAATGCAAATCTGTGTTGAGAATCTGGTCTTTGTAGTAGAGTATTCCCAATGCCGTTCACTGGTAAGAGTTTTAGACAAATTATGCTATGCGTAACGTTTGGCTGGTAGACTAAACTACCTCAACTTAATTTCATTCTGTTCATAGTAGGCCAATTACTCTTTTTCCTCTTTCCCTCCTTTCCTATCACTCATTCCCACCTCCACCCACTCCACCCCACTTCCCAGAGAAGAGTTCTTTCATTAGTGGAACTTACCTCGTAAGATATTTTGTTTTCCATTCAAATTATACCACCTTGGTGTGAAATCAGGGACTTCAAAGTGTTTGATTACTTCATAGTTCAAATTTTATGCAATATCAAATTTCTTATCGATTTAATATAGAGTACTTCATTTCTAATTGTTTTCTATAACTTTTTTTCTCTTAGAATATGGCTCTAAGCAGTAGCATTTTGTCTTAATAATTATTAAATGTATAAATACATCCTTTGGTTATAGATTTGAGAACAGGAATATCTTCCATGTGGGGAATGTTTGTATGCAGTTAACATGCATATGAAACATCGCTTGTATGTTCCCACCCATGGACAGGAAAAAGGGTGAACTCTCTGCAGGTTTTTTTACACCTGCTGGAAGTAAGTTAACACAAAAGTCATTACCTAGGGCCAGGCTTGGGGTCCTGAAGGATGTTAGTGCGGCACCTTAACTCCCAGGTGTGTCCAGGAGGTGCCAGGGAGGAGGAGGCATAGCATTTTTATCTTGTGCACCAGAGGCACAGGCCAGGTGTGCCGCGGTCTGCATCCTGGCAAAGGCAGCGTCAGTGCCAGGCCTGGGATTGTAGTGTGTGTCAGCCCGCTGTTGTCCACACGTTCCCATGCTATGTGGCCACTGCAGAGAAAGAGCACTTTCTTTTTACAATTAGATACTAGTTTTGGAGGAAACAATTTACTGAGAAAGTGGACGTGCTTTGGTGGACTCTTGCATTCAGAAGCTGCAGTTGGCACGTTCCAGGGTCCTGACCTGTGTCACAGCCTTGGTGGGCAGCAGTGCTCTTTTTCCAATTCCTGAAGTTTAAAATCCTTCCCAGTCTACGTCAGGCCTCTCCAAGAAGACAATGCGTTATTTAGGAATGAGTGAGTCCTATCGCGATGTTATCAGTGCCTGCATGACTTGGTCAATTCACTTTAAAAAAGTTTTTTTTTTGTTTGTTTGTTTTTTTAATTTAGTTCTTTGACACTGTAGCTGCAGAAATTAGATAATGTTTTATAAAATAAATTTGCCATTTAATATGGGATGCAATAACAAACAGAAGCTGCTAAGTGCCAAATTATTCCTTTAGTGTACATAGATACAGTACTATCGTATTAAAGCATAGGGCTGTGTTGAATTTTATTATGTTCCAAAATTAATCTTGACTTTTTTGTAAATTACACTTAGTCTTGTAAATTATAACTCATTTCATGCAGGTTTGTGTTTTAGCATTCCACTTATGCCTTGAAACTTTGTTTCTTGATACATTTGGGGTGGTTCTTTCTCTTCAAGGCACTTTGACCAGGTGTGTGTTGCCTTTGGCAGCTGAGGATAATCTTACAATTTTAAACACAATATCTTCGGGGAAGTGCAATTTGTTTTCCTCATCCCACCACAGAGGGAGGCTGACCTGGGTTAGAGGAAGTGGACATTTAAAGAAGCTCCCCTTGACTGCAGTCTACAGTAGGTTTGTTTGTTTGTTTGTTTGTTTGTTTAACACATCCAAACTTGGGTCTTTCAAAGATTCAAGTGTTTAATTTAAAATGAAGTGTTTGCTTTTTTGAGTGCTTGTATCCTATGAGAGGAGAAAGTGTGGTGGAGACAAGCGCATGAGCAGTGTGTGCACCGTTGTGTACGCTGGGCCACGTGGCTTGTGGGTCTGTGTGTATGTTTACTTTTTGAATTGTGGTTCCAAACTACAATACATTACTGTCTCCTGGTGCTTCAGATAAATTCTTGAGCCTGTTGACCCTTACTTAGTATATTCTACTGTGTTAGATTCATGTTGACTGTAAATATGGAATTATTTGTAGTGTGAAATAAGTTTTACTTGGTGTTTGCATTTCTCTTCTGTGGCAGGATCAAAAGCAGTGTTTACCACCCAGGGGTTGGTTTGCTGTAAAGATTTGGCCTAAGAAATTTGGCTTGGTATTTCACTGGTATGAGGAGTTGGTAACCCCCGTGGGGTGTGCTGAGCAGCGTGTAGTGTGTTGAAGAGGTCTCTACGCTGCACTGTCACTATACTAATGGTACCTCCTTTGTCGATGGTTTGGAAGTGTGATTTTTATGATTTGTAAGTTGGGGAGATTCCCTAGGCCACCCATAGGAACTGCAATCTTTGTCTAAATGTGGCAAGGATAGCACTGAGCTCCGGCAGCTCAGTTGCTCAGGGGCAGTGAGGTAGGTTTCCACGGAAGAGCCCAGCTACCTTGGTCCATTCATCTTCCTACCCAGTCTGCCAAACCAGAGACTCCCAGAAGTTTCCCAAGGAGAGAAGAACCCAGCCTGTTAGCTTCCAGGATGCCCACTTTCCTAATGAGAGGTTCCTTGGTCACATGAGGACATTTGATTGTCTGGGGGAAAATGAGGTGGCTCTTCCACTGTAAGGGCAGAAAGGCACTGAAACCCCCAGTTAACTGCCCTGGGGAGAGACAGGCGAGGCTGCTCTCCAGGGCTGCCCCAGAGCCACAGAGACCCTGAGGACAGCAGTGACAGATGGGTCAAGAGTAGCAGAGCCTGCCCCTGGGCCAGTGGACAGATGCTCACTGAGCACCTGCCAAGGACTGAGCTGCACCTGGGAGCTTAACCACGAGGCAGACATCATGCCGTGCTCCCTCTCCAGCTGCTGAATGTGAACTGCATGAGGACCCTTTGTCATCTGCTGATCTCAGTACGTGCCACATAGTAGGTAGTCAGTAAATGTTTGACAAATTAATATTATCCTTGTAACCAAAGTGATGCTCTTCACCACACTGGTAAGTGACTTCCCTGGATTTTAAATGAGGAGTTTTGTGCACAGACAGGCTAACCTTCTGAGGCGCCGGGGAAACTAATGCAGAATAAAAAATGCAAAGTGCCTGATGCGGGTGCACAGCCTGTGTCTCTGTGGTCTGTAGGGTTTTTGAGACCCTAGGCCCAGCACGCCTGACGTTCATCATGGTTAGTGTTAAGTTTTATTTATTGCTTTTTATAATGGCACCAAAATCTTTTCCAGAACATACTACTTTGCTCCTCGGATCTCTGTCATGGGTAAAGTGTGGCTTCATTTCTCACTTCAGGTCGGAGCAGGAACCAAGGCAGAAGCCAGGGTGTGGGTTAGCAGTTCACTACTCAGCCTAGTAGACTATTGCTTGATTTTCTGGGCTTGCAGATGTGTTTGATCACGTGTAGTACACTGTAAACTCCCAGACAGTCCTTTGCAAGTGACTCAGGTGTGAGCTGAAAGATCTTTGGTTTCCTTGTCACCTAGAAGTAAGAAGCATAGGAACTCACCAGGTTCAGGACACAGAGGTCACGTCTGAGAGAGGCAGGGTGACCTGTGAAGAGCCAAAGCTTCCTGAACTTCCCTCTTACCCCAGATGCTCAGGCAGGGGAAAGAATCTCTAAGAATGTTGAGGAAAGTGTTTTGCTAGCTTTTAGTAATCCCTGAAGTATTCTCTACAGCTTTTTTAGAAATTATAGGTGTTCATTTTAAGTCTATCGCAGCATCATCTTGTTTCTAATAGCTCCATCTAGGGACCCATGAGGACTTCACTGACGCCTTAGCATCCTGTGGTCCAAGGTACTCAGTGTAACAAAGTGTTTTGTCTGTTGTTTTTTTCAATTCTATCATTGAAGTCCTTCAAGAGATTAGACTATAAAATTCTCTTTCTCATGAAAGAGAAAACTATAAACTATATCATGTAGTTATTTAATGAGGAATGGTTGTCTTTTTTAAAAAATAAAAACTATTCTTTTTAAATTGCTACTCAGCTGAAATTTGGCCTAATGATAAATTTTGATACGGTTATCCTCTTTATTAAACCAAGTTGTTGAGTTTCCATTTCTACAAACATTTTGCCCATAGCAAACCTGCATTTTGCTTTTCCACATCACTGTGATTTGAATTAGAGAAGGTGTGGGCAGAAGGGGCCACATCCCAGACTCCGGTCACTGCCCACCTGGGTCAGATGAAGTGGGCACCATCACCAGCCAGAGGACTGATGAAAGTGAATAGCCACTTCACATCACCTAGATCCCAAGTACATGTGGGTTCATCTTTCTGTCGCTTGGTGAGTTATTTACTCGGGCCTTATTTTTAGCCCTTTAGTACAAATAGCAGGTTCAGGTTCCTTACTTTTATTGTTATTACTCAAAAGATACAAAGAGACAAACCTTAGAACTTGGATTAGGTTTTTCCAGTCATACAATGCACTTCCTGTTTAATTGGGTGAGAATTACACGCATCGATTCCCGTTCTTTGTGTTCTCAGCTACCTCGCCTTGTGGTGTTGTGCTTGATCCCCTGCCAGTTTAGAAGATTCCACATGTTCTGCCCTTTAGCAAAAGCCAGAAAGCGAGCAGTGAGTGGCCTCGGGGAGCATGATTCGCCAAGGCCTGTTTTCCATTTTACTCCTTTTTTAAAAATAGGCACTTTTAATCAGGGGGAACAATAATTCTCCTAGAGCTACTGCAAGGTGATTACTTGAAACTCGACTTGAACTTCAAAGAGTCTTTAAAAGGCTGTGTTTTCATATAGCAGAAAAGTAGTCTATGTAAACTCCACTGCTGTGTAAAGCAGAGGGCTTGGTTTCCATGCCTGTTAGGCTCAGATAGGAAAACGTGTCCTTCTGTAACTGGACATGCTGTCTGGAACCTAGGTACTAAGGCTGCTGTTTTTTATTTCCTGTAAGGTGCTGCTGTTTCCCAAGTCTGTCTTTCCTTTAGTCCTGATAACCCAGGATTTTAAAATGAAACTCTGGGGTGTTTCCCAAGTACAACCCCGTTGAGGTTGGCCAAACTATATAGAATTGGGTTTTACTTAAAGTCACAAATAATCTGGTTTGTCCCATGTGTTGGTTGATCTCCCTCAACTTCCTCCTGTCTGTGCCTTCACACCAGTGTCTGTCACCTTACCTGCTTCCTAAGTCAGGAGGAAGGGGCTGGGGCTCAGCAGTTATGGACAGACCCTCCCTTCCAGGAGATAGTTCTCGTGGGAAGGAGCTAGTTAGGGCCAGTGGAAGGCTTCACTAACCCTTGGTGGCCAAGGTTATGCCTATTCCTGAAGCCTTGCATACACAGAGTGACTTAAGCAACAGTAGAGTCTCTGTCCTTACCCTTGAGCAAGATTTAATTAGTATGCCTGTGCTTCTCAGAGTCAGGGGCTTGCTCCCCAGGCAGAATGGCAAAGCTCCTCCAGACACAGTGCATGAGCCCTCTGCTGATCTGCAGCAGACACACAAGATGGTTCCTGTGAGTGGCCACAAGAACAGTCCGACTCTATCTCTTTTATTTTGCCCCAAACTCTCTTATTTTAGTAATTTTGAGGAAATCTCAAACCTTTAAATATTTAATCTATGTATTTTCCTGAGTAGTTCTACCATGGAGGGTCCATGACCTTGGGAAGCACTTTAGCCTGAGGCTCAGCTCCGTTTCTTACCTATAGAAGTAGGATGACCTGGGTACGCACCTGTAGAAGTGTGGAAGGAGAGTGCCTGCACGAGGTCATGCCGATTAACGGAAGGGATGGTCCTTGCACACATTGGTGGCAGCTGTCACTGCCCTATTGATTCTGTCAGCTATCAACACAGGAAGTACCCAGAGGCACTGGGTGGGCAGGGGGCTGCTCAGTGCTGAATAGCCCAGGCCTCATGGCCTCCTTTATTCCAGCGTCCACCACCAGAGGAGGTGAAAGTAAATGTCTGCTGGGTGCCGTGGCGCAAACCTGTAATCCCAGCAGCTCAGGAGGCTGAGGTAGGAGGATCAAGAGTTCAAAGCCAGCCTCAGCAACTTAACAGGGGCCTAAGCAACTCGGCGAGAACCCATCTCTACATAAAATACAAAAAAGGGCCGGGGATATAGTTCAGTGGTTAAGCACCCCTGGGTCCAATCCCCAGCACCAAAAAAAAAAAAAAAAAAAAAAGTATGTTTGTGTTTATAAAATTACCTCTTTCTGGACTTGTGCCCCCTCTGTCCTTCTTCATCTCTGATATTTATATTCAGGATAATTCTAGATACCTGAAACATCCCACAATATGGGTTTAGAATATTTAGAGTTTTTATAAATAGCCTTCTGTTAAGAATTTGCCTAATGAAGTCCTCTAATAGCACTTAACATTTTTTACCAAAATTGAATTTTTCTTTTTTTTTTTTTTCATTAAAATATCAAAGATAGTGGTCTGTATTAGTCAAACAAACTAGATATTTTCTAGATCTTTGTTTGAAATCAATAGACCTAAACCATGATTTCTTAACTTGGATGTTATGTGAAACTTAAAAACAAGCAAACAAACCAACAAATTTGTGATGTGTGTGTGAGTGTGTATGTGTGTGAGTGTGTGCACTTTTGTACCTTCAAATAGAGAAGGTTATTACCAAAAGTGAACTTCTTTATGCTTTTATAATATCCCTCCCTTCCAGTTCAGGTTCTGAGGCTGGTGGGTTTAGCAGTTGTGACGTGCCCAGCTGATGGGGATTTCAGTAAGACATTCGGCAAGTTCTTGTTCTCTCTGTGACTAAGATAAGGGAGTGGGAACCAGGCCAGCGAGGCTGAGGACCAGACCCCAATATTTTCATTAGTAACTTTATGTAAAAACAGAGCAGACAGAGCAAAGCGCAGGGAGGGATCTGTGTTGGCTGTTCAGATCCACAGTGCTCTCTACAGGGTAAGGCGAAATATTAAGTCTGGGTCTGGGTCCAGAAAACCTAGTGGCTGCCTGAAAAAGGGAGACCGTTGCAAGTGGGTTGTTGCCCATTGGAACGTGGACCGGGTGCTCAGCACTTGTCTGTGTGTGGGATGAGGCCGAGAAGGGGTCTGCCCACTGCTTCCCTCTGTGCTGCTTGCTCTGCCCAGAGTGCCCACTCCAGGTGCAGTCTGAGAGGATGCCAGCAGGGCACAGAGGCAGCTGTGGCCAAAGCCTCTGAAGGCTTAGGAAGGAGCAGATGTGCATGTTCCAGAGGCTCCCTCAGACAGCAGCCAGACTCGGGGACAGAGTTCGTCACCTTTAGGGCTTTCAGGCAGAGCTGCCTCAGGCTCAGCTGGTGCCCTCTGCACCGTTGAGTGCTCTCTTCTGACACCCACGGTGGGTGGGGGGCCTGCAGCCACTCTGCAGGCAGAACAGTCTGGGCACTTCTACCTTGAGAACAAGAGCCCAGAGCAACTTGCGAGTGGAAGACTCTGCGGTCATTTGTTCAGTTAAAACAGGAAGAAACAATGTTCACATGTGAGCTTGGTGGGGTGGGGTGAGAGGAGTCCACGTTCCTTGTGCTCTTTGCCCTGTTCCCTCCCCCTCCCTCCCTCCACCCATCACCTCTTCAGCTCCTTAGCTGTGGCAGTGGCCACCCCAGCAGCCCTGTCACTGTCTGCACCTGGTCGTGTTGGTTCTAGTAGAACTTTCAGGAATGGTCTCACTTCTAGAGATTCCCCTAAACTGTACTCTCCACTAGAGGCACGAGGCTGGCTCTGCGTGTGTTTGGTTTAAACCCCACGCTGCCTCCACAGACTTAAGAAAGCTGAGGCGGAAGTTGACCCAGGCCGGCGGGCCTCGGCCAGGGTGGCTGCCGGGGCCCGTCCACCTCCCCTGGGCCTCATTTGCTGGGGCATCACTTTGTCCTCCCTTGAGGAGTATTTGTTCTTCTCGTGGTTCATCTTGTCCCTGCTCCAAGGAGAGTCCACTGCAGATCCCCCTGTGTCCTTGGGGGAAGGGTGAGCCGCTCACTCTGACTCTGCCCAGAAACAGGCGACCCTGTGGTCACGAAGAGCGGCTTTACCTGTGGGCCGCACAGCCTGTGATACTCAGACGCTGTCGTCACCTGTCGTGACCGTTTGTTGGAGCCAGTGTTTTCTCTCTGTGTCCACTGACCACCCAGGGATCCCGCGAGGAGGAGTCTCTTTGGGAAGACAGGTCCTTCCCACAGTCACGCCTCATCCTCTGCGTCCCAGGGGGAGGGTGTGGGGCCTGCTGACAGCCTCCTTAGCCATGCTCTTCCCGCTCTTCCCTCTTAGTAGCTTTGCCCCCACCCTTTCCTTCCATCCCACCCCTTTCCTGGCCTAGTCTTCTAACTGCTGGAATTAGGTAGCAAAAAAAGGACAGCCGACATGACCCTCCAGCCCCCAGCCTCGTGATGTCCAGGACGTCAGCCTTGTGGAGCTTGTAGGGACAGCATTCTCCTGTAGCCCTGACCATGCCTTTGTGCTACCATTTCCCATGGCCGGCCCGCCCTGACTGCAAGAGCACCAGACCCACCTGGCAGGCCCAGCAGCATCCCAGGTCTGAATCCGGACCTCTGAGGCCAAGGCACCCCCAGCCCTGAGCAGCCGTAGCCTAGAGCAGGCGCCCTGCCCGCCTGCCCTGGAGGCCGCGGGGCTCCTCTCTGAGCCAGGGGAGGGGCAGACACCAGGCCTCACATACTACCTCAGCACCCAGCACCCAGCAAGCACTGTGCAGCCCCAAATTGTCCAGCGAGACGTGCACAGGGCCCAGGGTGCCTTTCGGAAACTCTTAACAAGCACTCCACCATGCCCTGCCTGCCCAGCACAGCCAGGGCCTCGGTGGACTCTGTTCTGTGCGTCCTGTGGAACGTTCCAAGAGCGGACTGGGGCCTTTTCCTTCTTCTCTCTTATTTATCTCTGACTTAAACACTCCACTCCTGTACTCCAAATGGGAGTCGAATTGGAAATCAGAATTGCTCATTTACTTGAGAGAAACCATCTTTTTGTATTTTTGTCAGAAGGAATTTTTGCTTCAAAATAAGCTCTAGAAAATATGCTATTAATTTAGCATAGCTCATTGAACTTGACTCTTAGGCTTTTGTTTAAAAAAAAATCATGGGGGCTGGGGTTGTGGCTCAGTGGTAGAGCACTTGCCTAGCATGTGCAAGGCCCTGGGTTCAATCCTCAGCACCACAGAAAATAAATAAATAAAGATATTGTGTTCAACTACAACTAAAAAATAAATATTTTTTAAAAATCATGGTATATGGGACAAAAGGGTATCATTAGCTTTAAAAAATAAATGCATAACCTCTAATAGGTATATTAAAACTTCCCTTTCCAACAGGGCATCGCAAAATTCAAGCTCTCCATGAAAACAGAGGTCATCTAAATGCCACGGGTAAATAATTTTCTGTAGGGAAATGCAGCAGGTGGCCTTTAGTTGAGAAAAGCACAGGCTATTTAGCAGAACTTACTTAGTTATCAGACGCTTTTTCTGCCCATGGGGTCTTTTCATTTTGGATTCATCTAACTCATCTTTTGTTCAGTTCCTCCCTCCTGTACACCATCAAGTCACCAGTGACAGAGTGAGGGTCATTCTGTTTTGTCTCATACATTTGTGAATTGTGACAGCCCTGCGTGGCCTCTCCAGAGGTGTGGGGCAGCCCTGCAGCTGGTTCTGCAGGTCATGGGCACGCGCGGCGGGGGGGGGGGGGGTGTGCAGAACCCTCCATGCCCCCCACTCCCTCCCTTGTGCTTGTCAACCTCACTGCAGAAGCTGCGCGGGCAGGCTGGGACAGACCTTGTGCCGTTGCAGAGTGTCACTAGTGACACAGATGTTTGTGCCCTCTGTGAATGAGATGGTCCTGGTCCTCGGCCCATGCAGCCTGGAGATTGGCTTGCTGTCCCGGCATTGGTCTTCTGCTAGGAGAGAAGGCCGTCCGGGAAGTTCCTTAAAACAAGATTGTAAGTTCAGGGTGACTCCCCCGAATTTGGGGGCTGCTGTTTGCAGGCGGTCCTCGCCCAGCAAAATGGCCCATTTCACTCTCACTGGCTCCTGCCTATATTGTCCCTGGCACCTAGTATATGACTGTCGCCCTGGTAAAGGACTGGCTTTTAGCACACTCTTGTCATATTGATGCTTTTAATACCATAGGGAAAATTCCATAAAGACCATTTATAAATGCCAAATTAAAAAAAAAAAAAATCATCCTGTTAAGCCCAAATCTGTGTGATTGACATGGTACATGGTACGTGCAGAACGGTTTTCAGTTTGAATCCTGCAGCTTTTGTCGCCTAGCAAAGGTCCAGGCTGGGATGTCTCCTTCAGCATGTGTTCAGACGCACGGGTACTGTGTATAAGAAGGTACCCGGAGAGCCCTCCTACTAGAAAACAGGGATTTGCAACGAACATACAGAAATGATGTTATATAGGAAGTTCAAAATATTTGAAGGACCAGAAGGTTGCCACTTGTAAAACTGTACTCCCCAAATTCAGTAGGATAGTAGAGAAATTGTGCTAACTTGATTTCTTTGAAATGTCACGTCATGCATCTTGTGGTTCAAATGTACCAGTTTGTTCTGTGGAGTAATTTTCTATTCCTTTGCTGGTATGAAATTTAGCAAAGTTTGAAGTAATTTTTAATTAGTAAACTTTCTTACAAAGTTGCTTTATGGTTTACAAGTAATTCTGATGCAAAAGATCATGTCAACTTTCTTAAGTAGCACGCACTTTGTTTACATGCTTTGGTATGTCGTGGGGTAACTATGGGGTCGATCCCTTCTCCTGAGCACAGGACCTGTGCAGTGGGGGACATATTGCCATTGTGCTGTTCTCTTGTACCAAGGATCAGTGAAAGTGTTTTATCTTTTTTACGTAGTTTGTAATGACTGGATTTTATAACTGTAAGAAAACAGAAACAGAGTGTTGTATTTTGATCTGAAATTTGTGTATGGTAAAGTAATTTTGTTTTATGTATTGGAAGTTCATTTAAAACTTGAAATATTTTCTAGAAGGGTACTGAACAAAATGAATTGTCTTTAAGCTGTTTAATTAACCTAATAAAACAATTTGATGGGGAAGGCATTCTAATTGTTTCCAGTTTTGAGTGCTTCCTGCTGAATCAGCGTCGTCAACCCAAGGAGGTTCGGTTCTTAAAGAGAACCTTGTCCTTCTCTTGGTGACTTAAATGGTCTGGGAGCTGCAGTGGAAGCCACGCTCCTCGCCCGTAACTCTGGTCTCTCCCACCGTCAGAGTGAGTCTGTGCTGACTTCCCCAAAAAACAGAGGGCGTGTCCTGGGCTTCAGTCTCTGGACACACAGGTCACCTGCCAGCTCACTGAGGAGTTACTGGCACTCCGTGTGCAACACTGGCCACACATGTGCCCCCATCCTGGCCATGCCACTCGGGCTGAGGGGCCTCCTCGTCCTGGGCCACTCGGCCTCTGTTTCTCGTCTCTAAAATCAGACCAGATCTCCAGGTCTCCTTGTCCAGAGGACAAGGACAGTGGCAGAACCCCGTGATGACACCCTGAACCGGATGATCTCCTGAGACCCTCTTTTTTTTTTTAACGTGTGGCACCTACATCTGCCTGAGAGCTTGGCCTACAGGGATGCGCCCCATGTCACCTGCTCCAGGAAGGAGCACACTGTGCAGTGTCGACGTGTGGGACTGCCCGTCGTGATCCTTGGGCCTGTTGACTGCTGCTGAGAGTCATAGGGCCTGGTTTGGACACCTTTGTGGCAGCACCAGGCACTTTGTCCTCACATCCACCCTGTGAGGAATGCTGCTGTCATAGTCCAGCAAAGGAAGCTGGCACTGAGAGTCACTTGCCAAACCCCGGGGCCCAGCGGAGGCCACTTCCGACATCCACACCCCCAGTAACGCCACTGCTCTGCCTGTCTCTCTGGAAAGGGACAAACTTTCTTTTTTCATGAGCCAGGGTCTCGCTGTGTTGCCCTGCTGGCCTCGTTCCTGGGCTCTAGAGACCCTCCCACCTCAGCCTCCCGACTAGCTGGGACGAAACGTGCACCAGCCCAGCTGGACAGACTTTCTTGAAAGCGGTGCTGTTGTTGACTTAATGACATGGGGTGGGACATCAGGCAGGAGTAGGGCCCAGGAGTCAGGAAACTTCCTGGACAGGAACCAGGCAAAAACCACCACTTTCAGCTGGAAGAGAGCTGATGAGACCCAGGGTCTTTTTTTCTCTTTTAACTAATACCAAGTTTGAGGTGTTTTTGTTTTATCTTTTGAGGTGGTGTCTTACTATGTGGCCCAGATTGACCTTGAACTCGGGCTCCTCCTGCCTCAGCCTCCTGGGTCGCTGAACTACAAGTGTGCACCACCACACCTGGCAGAGTTTTTGCTATTAAAGAAGTCCCTCGTGGCACATGCTTGTAATCCCAGCACTGGAGAGGCTGAGGCATGGGGACTGCAAGTTTGAGGCCAACCTTGGCAACTTAGCGAGAGCCTGTCTCAAAATAGAAAACAAAAAAAGCGTTGGATATGTAGCACCCCTGAGTTCAATTCCCAGCACCAGAAAAGCAGCAGCCCACCCACCCGTCTGGAGGCCAGAGGGGTCTGTAGGGTTCAGAGCAGCCTCTGGGGTTGGGACATGGGTCGGGCCTGCTCCTGCAGGGCTTCGTTACAGGGCCAAGGGCAAAGTGGGACTTCCAAGGGCTGGGTCAGCTGCTTCCACGGACCTGTCCAGCTCCAGCCAGGGCTCCTGCAGGGGACAGGATTGGAAAGATGTGCTCCCTTCCCTGGACTGGCGGGGGTGGGGCCATGTGGTCTCACAGCTCTGCTTTTCCTAGTGAAGGATAAATACGTGGAACTCTGCTGTCATTTAAAATGTCTCCTTTCAGATGAAACAAGTTTTGGAGAGTTCTTGGAGAGGGGAGCCCTGGAGGACCGCTGGTGGAAGGCACAGCCGTGCCACTTGACGGTTCCTCAAGGTAACCGCTGCCGTGTGACCGCAAGTCCCGCTCCTGGGCGTGTGGACCTGAGAGAGATGAGCAGGGCTCGCGGGCTCGTGCTTGCTCTCGAATGTCCTTCGCACCGTGCACGTGAGCCCTGCACTGGAGACGGCTCCGGTGACTGCCAGCAGATGGGTGGACACCAGAACAGCCCGTTGCTGCGGCAGGACGTTAACCCTGGAGGAGGGACGCCGCAAGAACAGGCCGCGAGAAGCCAGCCAAAGGGCAGCCGTGCAAGTGACCCCGTCTGTGGGCGTCCAGAGCAGGCAGGTCCCTGGAGACCAGAGGCTGGCCGGGAGCGGGGTGGCCGCCCACGGGGATGAGGTTTGCCTTGGGTGATGAAAAAGAGCAAAGCCAGACGGAGATGAAGGTTTCACAAAATCCTGAACACCCCGAATGACCCTGAACTATTCCCTCAAAAATGGCGGATGGTGTGTGGATTTTACCTCAGAAGAAGATGAGCGGGGAGAAGGGAGCAAGTAAAAGTGATCAGTGCCCCAGAAGCTGTGTCACTGTTACCCCGGGAAAATGGGGGATCCACGTTCACATCCAGGGGTGTTTCCTCAGAGGGTCCTGGGACACAGTCAGACTGAGGACCGGGAGGGGCCGCACAGGAGTGAGGCCATCTCCCACCTGCCACGGCAGCGGAGACCTGGAAGATGCCCTGTGAGCAAGGACCCTCTGCCTTGGAACAGCGGCCATCTCTGCACATCCCCAGTTCCCCGTCCTTGGCTTCAGGAGGGGGAACTGGGGACGTGTACCCAGAGTCGGGACGGTGACGGTGGCGTCTGCAAACCCACCTGCAGACTTGTCCTCGCCGGCCATCAATCCTGGGCAGTGCGGCCCTGGCTGGCAGCAGGCACGCTCGCCAGGGTGCAGGGGATTGTGCAGGTCACGTGCAGATGCTGCGCCACTTGAAATAAGGGGCTCAAGCCCCCGCAGCCTGAAGTGACGCCAGGAGCTGCGGCTACACTTCTCTCACTTGGATCCCATGGGTGTAGCCTTCTGGTCTTAAAGCCAAACCTGGGCTCAGATCAGTCTCTGCCACCAACTCGTCCTTGCCTTCTGCCTCGTTTCTTGGGTACAGGAGCCAGAGCCAGAGGGACGTGGTGAGGACTGGAGTGGCCGTGGCAGCACTGAGAACAGCGCTGGCCCTCGGAGACTGTGCCCCCGGGGAAGCGCCTGTGCCTAGCTCATCAGTGCTGGGCGTGGTGCACTGCCCGTCGGCACCCTGTCGCTGCAGCCAGCCTGGCCTGCCTTCCCCCCGCTGCCACCACAGCCTCCCGGCCTGTCCTGAGCACAGGATGCAGTGGGGCACCCTCATCGTTCAACACTCCCGCTCCCAAATCACAGGGCAAGGCCATCACTGCTGCGGGCTGGCGGGGGACTCAGGGGTCCCGGCTAGGATCTTACAGCAAGGACCTGCGGTTTACCAGCCATGGCCAGGAAAGGGGAAGCCACCTTGCCCATCCATGGCCAGAGGGCCACCCGCGGCTCATGTCTGCCCAGTACAGCTGTGGGTTGGGGGGGGAGGGGGTTGCTTGCCTGAGTCAGCTCACCTTGGTGTCCCCTCCAACCCTCTCAGCTCAGCTGGCCAGAGACTATGCAGGGCCAGCATCAGCAACCATGCCAGGCCTGTGACGGGTCCTTCCTAGCCGGCATGCTCAGGCTTGTCCCCAAGATGACGCAGCAGCAGGAAACAATGCCCCATGCCCCCCATGCCCCCCACATACCTGCCCATCCTGATCCCTGAACCGGTGACTCTCTTCCCTGACTCCCGTGAGTGATGAAGTGTGTTGAGATGGGAGGTGACCCTCGATTACCCAAGCAGGCCCGGCGTCATCGTGAAACAGGAAGTGAGCACAGGTTGAGGGAGGGATGCAGGCCACCAGCAGAGTAAGTGGGCACCTCCAGGGGTGGAACGGCAGGGGACGCACTCCCCCCTGGCGCCTCCAGAGGGAGCCAGCCCTGATGACACCTTCCTGTCGGCCCAGGGAGCCTGTGCTGACAGCTGACTGCGGTTTTGTGTGCATGTGTGTGTGTCAGGGATCGGGGGCGTGGGGATCTGTCATTGAACTCAGGGGCACTTAACCACCGGGCCACATCCCCAGCCCTTTTTAAATATTTTATCTAGAGACAGGGTCTTGCTGAGTTGTTCAGTGCCTCACTAAGTTGCTGAGTCTGGCTTTGAACTCTCAATCCTCCTACCTCAGCCTCCCTAGCCGCTAACCACTGTTCCTGGCCTCCAGACCTGTAAGGTAATAAATGTGAGTTGCTTGAAGCTACTAAGTTTGTGTCAATTTGTCATAATAGCCAATGCAGTCCCACTCTCAAGAAATTAGAATTTGATGCCAGGCATGGTGGCTCACACCTGTAATTCCTGAAGCTTGGGAGGTTGAGACAGGAGGATCACAAGTTCAAAGCCAGCCTCAGCAACTTAGCGAGACCCTAAGCAACTTAGCAAGATCCTGTCTCAAAATAAAAGAGAAAAAGGGGGCTGGGGTTGTGTCTCAGTGGTAGAGCACTTGCCTAGCAGGCGTGAGGCCCTGGGTTCGATTCTCAGCACCGCATATAAATAAGTAAATAAAATAAAGTCCATCAACAACTAATAAAAATATTTTTTAAAAAAAAAGATTAAAAAGGGCTGGGGATGTGACTCAGTGGGTTAGCCTCCCTGTGTTCAATCCCTGGTACCAAAAAAAAGAGAGAGAAATTAGAATTTGACAAATCTGGAGGGGGCCTGCGTGAGCTGAGAGCCACCATTCTAAGGGCATTTTGGAAATGAGACCTCTGCTTGCAGAGCTGGCCAGACATTGCCAAGGTGTCCGCTGGGCAGAGCTGCTGCCTACTCTCCTGCAATTGAGCCACTCAAACTTCCCACCCTCCCAAGGCTGCAGCGAAGTCCCTGGGCCCACCCAAGGTGTGCTGAGGCTTCTCTTTACCCAGGCTCCTCCTCAGACCGCAGCCAGGGCAAGGAGACGCCCCAGACAGGGCTTGCGTCCTCACCAGTCTTCTATGCAGATCCCTCAGCCCCTATAAAACCCACCCAAGTTCTGGCCACTCCTTCCCAGTCTGCTCTCATGGTGAAGCCCTCGGCTGCTGCCCGCCTCA